TCATTCTAATGTGATGGATTTGTTGCTCAAGAAATATTTCAATATCAATGTTGAAAACAGTTGTGGTGCTTAATATTTTGATGAAACCATAATACATCTTTATTTAGATTCTTTAATGAATAGAAAATGTAAAAGAACATCATTTCACAAACACATCATTATAAATGGATGCTTGCTGAATTTAAGTATTTATCTCTTAAAAAAAATAAACAAACAAAAGCATCAATTTTCAATGCCTGTTTATAAATTTGTTGTAATTACGGTAATTCAAAGTCAAATTCCTCTGTATTCTCTCATACCTCGCTGTCTGTGCTGGCCTGAATGACCTCCCATGTCTGTGAGTCCACATCATAGCAGTGCAGTTCATTGGGTAGAGTGTTGTCTGCTGCCCCTCCAAACACATACAGGTGACGGTCAAACGCCACCATGGTGTGTCCATAGCGTCTCTGAGGGGGCGGAGGGGAGCCACGCAGCAAGTGCTCAGTTGGAATCCGGGTCCATCTGAACAGAAAATACACTGCTTATTAAAAGCAAAAAATGTATAGTTCCTCTTTTTGTAATGTTGAGCTGAAAAATGACACTACTGTCTTCTGTAGAGCTGCTTTATAGTTGAAACTGACATTGGTTCATAACTGATCAACTCTGCCACAACGACATTGTTTTTCTTGTTTATTACTGTGAAGCTGCTCTGAAACAATCTGTATTGTATAAAGCGTTATATAAATAAATGTGACTTGACATAATAAAAACGTGTGCATATTACACATAAAATGACATTAATCAAGGTCCTCTTTGCCGTGCTCACATGTGGCCTTTGAATTCAAACTGAAAGAGGTTGTTAGTGATCTTGGCTCCACTTTGGCCGGAGAAAACAAACATCTTATCCTGACATACAGCTACTGGGAAGTTACAACAGGAAGGTGGGATTTCACCACTTTGTTCAATCTAAAGGAAACAAAGAAAGCAGTAAATCAGAAACAATCCAACATGTTATATGTTTACTGGCAGGGAATTGTGTATTTTATCAACTTTAAGGTGAACACAAATCCTTAAGTAAAAGATTAAAATCAAATAACACAGCCCTGCATCTTGAAAAAGTAAATAATTGTGTTGATTTGCATCCTCTTTGCCGTGCTCACATGTGGCCTTTGAATTCAAACTGAAAGAGGTTGTTAGTGATCTTGGCTCCACTTTGGCCGGAGAAAACAAACATCTTATCCTGACATACAGCTACTGGGAAGTTACAACAGGAAGGTGGGATTTCACCACTTTGTTCAATCTAAAGGAAACAAAGAAAGCAGTAAATCAGAAACAATCCAACATGTTATATGTTTACTGGCAGGGAATTGTGTATTTTATCAACTTTAAGGTGAACACAAATCCTTAAGTAAAAGATTAAAATCAAATAACACAGCCCTGCATCTTGAAAAAGTAAATAATTGTGTTGATTTGCAAAAAAAAAAAAAAAGGTGTAATATTACCTAATTTGATGATATGGAGTTCAAAAATATCAATAAAAACTTTCCATCATGGATAGCCTTTAAGAATTTTTTTCACAATCTAATATATATATATATATATATATATATATATATATATATATATATGTTCAAATACTGCAGTTAATGTCAAATATCTTTACAAAATCCATCATTTTATGTTGCTGTTTGGATGTTGACACCTACAGATTTAGCAGTAAACATCTGGGTCATGTTTGCATTTTCTTCTGTTACTGGAATTAATTCAGGATTAGCCATAAAATGTCTTCAAAACTATTCATCATTCACACATGTGAAAATTGGTGTAATAACGGCGGTGTAATAATTAGACAATCCTGTTTTTGAATTAAACTTATGCAAATATAGTCACCTCTTCCCAGTATGCCTGCTCACGATCCTGAAGACTGATGGTCCACATGTCATTTAGCCTGTTGGAAACAAAAAAAGGATTCATATATATATTGACAGAGTAACATTTAAAAAATCCCTTAGTTTTATGTTGGAATAGATTTGTTAATGTTACAACGTATTTACACTGAACAAAATTATAAACGCAACAATTTGGTTTTTGCCCCCATTTTTTTATGAGCTGAACTCAAAGATCTGAGACTTCTATGTACACAAAAGGCCTACTTCTCTCAAATATTGTTCACAAATCTGTCTAAATCTGTGTTAGTGAGCACTTCTCCTTTGACGAGATAATCCATCCACCTCACAGGTGTGGCATATCAAGATGCTGATTAGACAGTATGATTATTGCACTTAGGCCTTAGGCTGGCCATAATAAAAGGCCACTCTAATATGTGCAGTTTTATCACACAGCACAATGCCACAGATGTCGCAAGTTTTGAGGGAGCATGCAATTGGCATGCTGACTGCAGGAATGTCCACCAGAGCTGTTGCCCATGAATTGAATGTTCATTTCTCTACCATAAGCCGTCTCCAAAGGTGTTACAGAGAATTTGGCAGTTCATCCAACCGGCCTCACAACCGCAGACCACGTGTAAGGGCAGATGGCAGACAGCATGTATGGCGTTGTGTGGGTGAGCGGTTTGCTGATGTCAACGTTGTGGATCGAGTGGCCCATGGTGGCGGTGGGGTTATGGTATGGGCAGGTGTATGTTATGGACAACGAACACCGGTGCATTTTATTGAATGCACAGAGATACCATGACAAGATCCTGAGGCCCATTGTTGTGCCATTCATCCACGACCATCACCTCATGTTGCAGCATGATAATGCACGGCCCCATGTTGCAAGGATCTGTACACAATTCCTGGAAGCTGAAAACATCCCAGTTCTTGCATGGCAAGAATTCTCACCGTACATATCACCCATTGAGCATGTTTGGGATGCTCTGGATCGGCGTATACGACAGCGTGTTCCAGTTCCTGCCAATATCCAGCAACTTCACACAGCCATTGAAGAGGAGTGGACCAACATTCCACAGGCCACAATCAACAACCTGATCAACTCTATGCGAAGGAGATGTGTTGCACTGCGTGAGGCAAATGGAGGTCACACCAGATACTGACTGGTTTTCGGACCCCCCCAGACCCCCCAAAACAGTAAAACTGCACATTTTAGAGTGGCCTTTTATTGTGGCCAGCCTAAGGCACAGCTGTGCAATAATCATGCTGTCTAATCAGCATCTTGATATGCCAGACCTGTGAGGTGGATGGATTATCTCGGCAAAGGAGAAGTGCTCACTAACACAGATTTAGACAGATTTGTGAACAATATTTGAGAGAAATAGGCCTTTTGTGTCGCAGATCTTTGAGTTCAGCTCATGAAAAATGGGGGCAAAAACAAAAGTGTTGCGTTTATAATTTTGTTCAGTGTATATTTGCCATTCAAAGCTGTGTAAAGATACACTAATACACTTGCCTGGCATTTCCATCATATCCAGCAAAAATCCAGAGTTTGTCGTTATAGACCGTGGCGCCATGAGCCGATCTGGCAACCAGACTGAAAAAAAAAAAAAAGTATTAACAACAAAATTGTGTGTCAGACAGACTATAACACAATTATGAGGATTACAGAAAATAAGAGTAATGATCAATATGATTTACCGTCCCTCCACCTTCCATTCTGTCCACTGCCCGGTGGCAAACTTGTACTCAAATAAATCATTTTTGTTTTTCAAGTTAGAGTTTGAATAGATGTCTCCAGTGTAGCCACCTAAAATACAAGCAAGAAAACATTACACACACAGGAAAGGAATACATGACATTAAATGGCACACTGAAAACCTACCAAACACAAACATGCTGCTTCCATACACAACAGCAGAGTGGTGGTATCTTGGTGCTGGTGGGGTGCCAGTAGTAAACGCCCTATTTAAGGACATAAATATATAGATATAAGAGGCCACATAAAAGCATATTTAAGCACATCCACCTTGCGATTGTCATTCAACACTCACCGACACCATGAGCAGTCCTTCACATCAAACCGCAACAGGTCATTAAGCATGTTCTTGCTGAAAGAAATGATCACCCATATGAGATCCATCTGTACGGTTTGGAGTATAAGGAAGTAAGGAAAAACAAATAGTCACCCATTGTCTCCTCCAAAGACGTAGATGGCATCTCTGTATGCCACAACAGTGTGTTTGCTACGCCTTCAAGAAACAAAACCCAATATACACAGTTTTTATAGCTGAAAATAAAACATCTACCTAAAGATGAAGAACAACTGTTATGAATAAAAAGTGTACCTTGCACCCACAAACTCATCACATGGTGGCAGCCTCCTCCAGCGGTGGACGGTCTCAAAAGGCCCGAAGTTGAGTGTCAAATACTCAACACTGTCAGAGCAGCTGTGGTCAAAATCAACACTGGGAGCCACTTTGGATTTACAAGACATGGCTCCAGGAAACCATGACATTCAATTCACATCTAACAAGGTTTAGTCCAGCCGAAGGATCACGTTTAGGACGAATAAATCTAATTTTTTTGCAAGTTGCCTGAATGTATGATCCGTTCCAGGCTCATCTGAATCATGTTGTCTGAAAGATTATGATTGTTTACAATCTTACCTTCAGTCTGACTGACGTTAACCTAGCTATAACTGTATCTGATCATGTGCCACTGTGTAATAATCTAAAAGCATAATAGAAATCGTAATATGAAAAGAACATAACATAATAAACCTCAACGCGTCGATAGAAAGAAATAATATTATGAAATACATATAAATAAAATTTGCATCTCTTCTAGCTTTTGTGATGCAAACGTCAAGGGAGGAGACGAGACTACCTGACATGCGCAGATTCGCGGCTTTTGATTGGAGGAGAGTACACTAGACGTCATCGACAACATAAAATCACACAGAATTAAGTACACATATTTTATTTATTAGAATTGATGTCATTTTATAACCAAAACCTCGTTTTTCCCCCAATTCTTAGATGTACTAGATTAAATAAATAAATAAAAGTAGTAACGTGATGGCGTACGCGTGAGGTTGCATTTTCATTGGTTGAAATTATGAGGGGCGGGAGTAAAGCAGGAAGGTGACTGGAGCTCGCGGCAACGACACAAAACGCGCCAAATTCCTTTGGCGGCGGCACCGAATGAACAACGGAAATATATATTTGCAATAATATTCTATATACCAGTGACACCGCGAATTGTATGTAAATGCTTAAGGAGATATGACGTTTTATCGTTGTTGGTAGGACATTAGTGATATGCGAGCAGCTGAAAATTCATAAACTCGCGCTGAAAGTGTGTGACGGTCGAGTTGTGTGCAGTGAAACTGTTATCTAACTAACTAGTTCTTCTGTATTTAGTGACTGATTTGAGTCTTGAAGATACTTGTCAGTTATGGTTTTACAAAACAGTTGGCGATATAAAGCAGACCGAGGTGGAGATCAGGACAACCAGCAGTAAGTTCGTAATATTGACATATTTCAGACTATATAGTTTAGTGTTCATTTACTGTAAAATTAATTGATACTTTTTCATATATCTTGGTTATAAATTAAATCTATATGTGGTACGGTTTGGAAGAGCAGACGGTGTTTGTGTTGTTGACAAATTAACATATTTCTCCAACATACAAATTTCAGGATAAATCTATATAACCTTAGTTGTGTATATTACAGCCAGATAAATGGTCAAAATTGTTTGTCAACATTTTGAATAGCTTTTTTTTTTGGTCCTAATGTTTTTTTATTTATATATTTCCAAATTTTAGTTTTTTTTATTTATGTGCTTTTGTCATTTCTATTGGTTAAAAAAAACATTTCAAAATAGTTTTCATTAATTTTATTTTCAGTTAGTAATTTTAGTACTTGCCAAAGAAACATTAAAACATTTATTTAATGGTTAAAATCTAATAATTTATCTATTTCATTTTTTTTATTTCAATGAGCAACACAAATGTTTTTAGTAGTTTTAATTAAAGGGGTCATATGATGCGATTAAAATTTGTCCTTTCTCTTTGGAGTGTTACAAGCTCTTGGTGCATAAAGAAGATCTGTAAAGTTGCAAAGACTAAAGTCTCAAATCCAAAGAGATATTCTTTATAAAAGTCAACCACGCCTACCTAAAACGGCTCGTTCTAACACGCCCCCACATATCTACCTCACTATGTGGGAAGATTTGCATAACGTCGCCCAAATGTTCACGCAAAGAAAGAAGGCGTAACTTTTAATCTCGCTGTAGTATTGTTGCCGCTGCCGCCATGTCGTGAAGCCACTTTAAACCGCATAAACACATTTCGTTACACCAAATACACAAAATAATGTTCTTTTTAGCAGCATCATATGACCCCTTTAAAAAATAATCATTTGTGTATAACAAATTGTTTTTAGTACAAATCCATGCAATGTGCTCAATTAATACAAGTCATAAAAACTGAATGTAAGATGATTCTGCAAGAATTAAAGAAAATAATTTAGCAGCTTTTACAGTTGTTAAAATGGCTGTTGAATCTTGTTGCAGTAAATTTTCTGTTGCTTTTTAGGGATGATGCATCAGCTTTGTCCGCTGTCAAGAGGCTGGAGCGCAGTCAGTTCACTGATGGGATGGATGAGCGCTTTGGGTTTGAACGGATGAAGGAGCCTGGGGAGAAAACGGGATGGCTGATCAACATGCACCCGGTAAGAATGAATGTCAGACAGTCAACACAGTGACATTTTACTGATTATCTTGCCAACTGTCATGAAGGTTTTAAACATTGCACAATGTATTTCTTCTCAGACTGAGATTCTGGATGATGACAAGCGGATGATCAGTGCTGTGGACTATTACTTTATACAGGAGGATGGAAGCAGATTCAAGGTGTAATATTTCAGCAGTTTGCAAATAAAAATATTGATTTCAAACGTAATACTAAAAGTTCATCCATGTTTTTGAAAGAAGTCTCTTAAGCTCACCAAGGCTGCATTTATTTGAACAAAAATACACTAAAAGCAGTAATATTACAAAATATTCTATTTTAATGTATTATCAAATGTAATTTATTCCTGTGATGCAAAGCTGAATTTTCAGCAGCCGTTACTCCAGTCTTCAGTGTCACATGAACCTTCAGAATTCATTCTAATATCCTGATTTGCTGCACAGGAAACATTTAATTTTATTATCAATGTTGAAAACTCTTTTGCTGCTTAATATTTTTTTGTGGAAACCATAACGCTTTTTTCCAGGATTCTTTGATGAATAGAAAAGTTAAAAAAAACAGCATTTATTTTAAGAATTATTTTGTAACGTTATACATGCCTTCACTTCACTTTTTATGTCTTTGTCACTTTTGATCAATTTCATGCATCCTTGCTAAATAAAAGTATTCATTTATTTAAAAAATAAAAAAAAAAAGTTACTGAGTTCCAAACTTTTGAACGGTTGTGTATTTTATCCTGAATCACATTGACATAGAGCAGGATAAAGAATATCTTATGTTGACAGAGATCCTGATTTTGTAAATTTCATCTTTTTGTGTACGTGTCCCCTCACAGGCTGCTCTTCCCTATAAGCCGTATTTCTACATAGCCACTAAAAAGGTGAGTTTAAAGCTTTTGCACTGAATGAAAACACTTTGGGTTGAATTGATTGAATGATCAATCCAAATTTTTGTGTTTTCTAAAGAACTGTGAAAGAGAGGTTATCTCCTTCCTGTCAAAGAAGTTCCAGGGAAAAGTGGTGAAGCTTGAAGTTGTCCCAAAGGAAGATTTAGATCTGGTAAGTAAAGTTCTATTATACATTAGGTAAACAATTCTACTGATTTGTTTGCGTGATTGATGTCAATATATAAGTTCAATATGAACCATAATCTCTTTATTAGTGCTTACCTTTAACTTTGTTCATTTATTGATCCTTTTTGTTTTTACTGTCTAACCGAGAGATGCCCAAAGCAGGGCTAGTTGGCCCATGATGATCTTTGATTTGGTCTGCCATGTCATATCACAAAAGAAGCAAAAAAAATAATAAAAAATAGGAGAAGAAAAAAATCATTCCACTGGAGCATCTCATTTCTAATTTATACTTTTGTTTGACATTTGTTTTATTTTTGCATTGTACTAGAGAATATGCCTAAGCAGGGCTCGACAGTGCGACCATTTCAGTCGCATTTGCGACTGAAAACTACTGCGTGCGACTATGAAATTTATTTTAGGAGCACCAGTGTGACTGACCCGCTCATCATCATACTTGTGATTGCGCTCATGGAAGCTTCAAAGCTTTCTACGTGTTTTTGCAGCGTCGAGTAATGTATCAGACATATCTCACCAATCCTTCATAAGCAAAGTGTAGACAGGGTGTAAATAAGAGATTCATCACACAGTGTAGAGAGCTTCGTTGATTATAAATGTGAGCTCGCGATGAACTAAGATGATGAGTGACAGCTTTGAATGATTTTTAAGGGAGTTTGTAAATGTGATAACTGATTTAATACAATACAATTCAATAAACAAGAAGTTAATTTTAAGTTACTTACATTGTCTGACTATAACACTATTGTCTGATTTTGCTCTATTTCGTTGTATTTCGAAATATTTCGAAAATAGTTTAAAAACAAAGTCACAGCTCAGCCGCTGCGCATCTCCATTCAAACACAGCGGTGTTTCGTTTATGAACGAACAGTTTTTTTAAACGAATCTAGTGAGTCAGTGATTCATGATTACCCATTCATAAAGACAGTCACTCTTGAATGAATAAGCCGTTCGAATGAATCAATTGAATGAATGATTCAGTGATAAAAATCAGTGACTTGCCGCCACCTGCTGGCAGTTTTAGTTTCATTTTTAAAGTATCTTTTCAGTTATTTAAATCATTTAATATTTCTATATTCAAAATTTTATATTTAAAACATTAATATCATCATGGATTTAATTGCACTCATTCCACTTCTGAACCTCATTAAATGTCTGAAAGTACATCAAACAACACTTTTGTGTTCTTCTGTGCCACCTCTACAAATTATTTTTGTTAATACTGATTTCATTTGATTTTTAACTTGTTTCTTATTCTACTCTTATTCTGTTGTTAAGCTTATAAAATATAATTTAAGAATTTGACAAAAGATGACATACTTTTAATAAAGTTAGAGGAGTCAAATATTACCTCGTAATGGGAAGGCTACTTTTTGATAACATTTTGGATTATTGATTAGAAGGTGCTCCTAAAATTTTGAACGTGCTCCTAAATTTTTTAAGTTAGGAGCACAAGTGCTCCTAAAAAGAAAAGTAAGCGTCGAGCCCTGTGCCTAAGTTTAATTTATATATATTTAATATTATTGGATATAATGCAACATTTGGCCCACATTTGATTTCTGACACTTCTTAGTAAAAAGTGTGGGCACCTCTGCTCTATAATGTCAACCATTTTGTCCTTTAAAGCCTAATCACCTGGTGGGCCTGAAGAGGAATTACATCAAACTGTCTTTTAACACGGTGGACGATCTTATTAAAGTGAAAAGGGAGATCTCACCTGCTGTCCGCAAGAACAGAGAGAGAGAGAAGTCCAATGATGCCTATACCAGCATGTTGTCCAGGTAGTCACACTTTGGCACTTTTAAAAAAGCAAAAGTCTTAAACTTTTTGAAAATAAGTTAAGCTTTAAGGGGGGAAAAAACCCTCAAGAAATTCACTTGTAAGACTTTCCATAGTGCACTTGACAATGATGACTATTGTTATTTGGTACTATAAATAAAATAAGGCTTATTTTGTGTGTTACAGTGCTTTGGTTGGTGGGAGCGTGGTGACGGAGGATGAGGATGGCACATCGAAGAAAATGACTGAGCAGCTTGACAACATCATAGACATGCGGGAATATGATGTGCCTTATCATGTCCGCCTTTCTATTGACCTGAAGATTCATGTGGTAAAGAAACAGGCTACATGTTTATATAGGTGTTATAAGGTGTGTTTAATGTTCAAATGAGACCTTGATTGTCCGCTCTTTTTTCTGACAGGCTCACTGGTACAATGTGCGGTACAGAGGAAGTGCCTATCCTCCTGAGATTGTGCGCAGGGATGATCTTGTGGAAAGACCTGTAAGAATCAACAAATCAAAAGCAAATTTAAAGAATGTAGATGCCTGAAAGTTTTGTTTTAGACGGTCTCTGGTTAAGATTGTTTTGATTATGTCATTTAGCTTTATGCACTGAGGATTCTGCATGAATTATTAAGAATCCCCGAATCATTGCAGTATTTTTCTCTGTTTGTCTAAGGATCCGGTAGTGTTGGCGTTCGATATTGAGACCACTAAACTCCCTCTGAAGTTTCCTGATGCTGAAACAGACCAGATCATGATGATATCGTACATGATAGATGGGCAGGTAATGTCTTTTGCATTCTTACCTGTCGGATTGTTCAGTCATAACATAACCGTTTTATTCATGCTGTGCTTAAATTTAGTCTTTGATGGGTTTAATAATTAACATGGTTTGTAATATACTTTCGTGTACTTTTTTTCCACAGGGCTTCCTCATCACAAACAGAGAAATAGTCTCTGAGGACATTGAGGACTTTGAGTTCACCCCAAAACCTGAATACGAGGGCCCCTTCACTGTATTTAATGAACCTGATGAGGTGAGGATGAACAGTTTATGATATGCATTGTTTACAAGACTGTTATTGAGTGCCACAGTTGGTATTGTCAATTGTCAGACATATTTTCTGTAGTTTGGTAAATATTGTCCCTCCTTATTTCTGACCTGTTCTGTCTGCTTGCAGGCCTCTCTCATTCAGAGATGGTTTGAACACATCCATGAGACCAAGCCGAACATTTTTGTCACTTACAACGGAGATTTCTTTGACTGGTGGGACATGTTTTGTGTTAGACTGATATTATATCACATAAAAACTTGCTGCTTCCCTATAATGTTTTGTTATTATATGGTATTTACTTGTGTTGACGATTTTGTGTTTTTACAAATAGCATGTGCCCATGGTTTATTTGTGTCTCTGTGTCCTCAGGCCATTTATAGAGACCAGAGCGGCCCAACTTGGCCTAAGTATGCATCGGGAGATCGGCTTCCAGAAGGACAATCAGGGGGAATATAAAGCCAGCCAGGCTATTCACATGGACTGTCTCAGGTGAGAGCTGCTGAAATGTTTTCTGAAAGCAGACTGGAAGAAAATTACCCACTATATTTACTTGTTTGGTATATGCATTAGGGCCAGGGCCGTTTCTAGGCATAGGCGAGCTAGACGGTCGCCTAGGGCGCCAATGAGCGCACATATTGGCACTTTTAGCAGGGTTGTGATAAAGAGTGGCACGGTCACCCTGAAATATGACTGCCACCCCCACTGGATCCCCCAACATTATTGGGCTAGAGTACTGTCAATCTGACGATGCCTGTATGCCACTAGATCAGAGGGCTGTCAGTTGCTGCTTGATTGTTGCATGCAAAGTTTGCATTTGGAACGCTCAACAACGCCATTAGATCAGTGGGCTCTGTCAGTGCTTTGGCAAGGTAACACTATTTTTTGCCATGCGATAAAGCGAAGTTCAAAGGCCAATTGAAAATATTGGTACAGTAAATAAAGTGCACAAAATCAGTATTTTGTTTAGGCAGTATTTGTGGCACATTTGTCCAAATATTTGTGGCAGATTTGTCCAAAAGGTGTGCGTTTTTTGCGCCAATGCATTGTTAAATGATCAGCGCGTCATGTAATATTCCCATATAAACTTTACCATCCAATAAAAAAATATTTGTATAGTAAAATTTTTATTAGACCGCTTTGTCGAGTTAAATGCATCCTTACGGAGGTGTCGAAATGCTGAATCAATTCATTCACTTCCAACAGCGCTTAATGGGAGCAGTGTCATACAGGGCAGAGCGTAACATTATTTAAAGGGGATGTTAACGCGTTAACGAGTAGCAAATGATTAAGTAGCTGCATTGGTTACTCTTATGCCACTGTTATGTAGTTTGGGGTAGCAAAGGGATTTTATAGGTTTGACTGAAATAATAATGCAATAAGTGACACTTTAAATCAATGTTTCAAGAAACAACAACAACAAAAATTGAACAAAAAACAGATAAAGACAAAAAAGTAGTCATTGATAATATCTAAACAATATGTAGTAGTATAGTATATAGTATCCAAACCAAATGTAATATAATTAATTTATGTGTGATTTATGTGTAAATTATGTGCAATGTCTTAGCCACTAGGGATTGTTACATAGGGCTATACAGGCATCTAGTGGCAACACAATGATATTACAGATACTAAATTGTGCAAAATGTTTATCTTAACAGTCAATTTACAAATAATGCATTCAGATTTGTGGAACTCAATGCACTGAATCTCCACAAATTAGTGTCGTTACTATGACAACCAATTTGAATGTGACAAGCAACTGGTGGGGGGGAGCAATAGGGATTTCGCCTAGGGCATCAAATTGGCTAGAAATGGCCCTGATTAGGGCTGTGTATCACCAGCAAAGTCACGATACAATACAGAGGATACGATACGTATCAAGATACGGCACTGCACTGAATTTCACCTCAGAAGAATTTAGTAAAACAGCAGTATATTAAACACTGCAGTTGACATTTCGAACTATTGGCAGAGCAGGCAGTTGACCTCTGCATTATGAAGGGCCTCCATAACTGTACCACAGTACAATATAGGTAATGGCATATGTTTCATGTTTACATTGGGCACTCCCCACCAGGTACAATATTCAGATTTTTTGCATCTTGTTTTTAAGCCCATAAATAATGTACTTGTTCTAATAAATGTATATTGTAATGTACTTATTCTAATATATTTTTAAAAATCATATTTACATTGCTGGTAGGTTATCATTGCACAAATTAACACTCTCTAACGTAAAAAAAAAAAAAAATCAGAAGAGTTCTAAACTAATGTGCTGTCTTCTGTATCTAACGCACATACACGCTCAGTCACTCACACAGATCACGTTGCGGCCGCACTCAGACATTAAGGAACAAACATTTTAGCGCTGCCCCGCAATTTGATCAACTAAATAGCTTAATCGCTCAAGAGCTACATTCTTTCT